TAATCGTTTACTAAAATTATCAGTTTCAATTTATGCATAGCTAAAACACTCATGTATTTCACATGATAACAAATCTGTTTCTGCATTTCAGGGCAACAGAAGATCTTATTAGAATGATAATGATAATATTTTTTCTCCCCTGTTCTATTAATGCTTTTCGGTAGAGGATGCGTTGAAGAAGAGATGGAAAGCGGTGCAAGCAGCAATACTCGTAATGAGGGCTGTACCAGTACCACCACCACCGTATCCAAGGACTGTTCATGGTTCAGTCAATTTCGCAATGCGTCGAATCCTTGGATGGCAAGATATGCCTATGGCTTCATTTTTCTAGTCGCAAATCTGTTGGCCTGGGTAGCGCGAGATTATGGTCGGGGCGCTTTGACAGATTTGGAGAGTAAGATTTGCCTAAATTCACTGCCTGTCATGTTAACACCATATCATCTAGTTTTCCACTACTTCTTGCAGTATCAGTTCACATCCTCGATTTTTTCATTACTACTTCATCTCAATGCATGCTTATCTTAGAGCCGACTTTCTGTGAATCAAATAATGCAATTAACTCTCAGAAGTTCCCAACTATTGAATATCTTGATGCTTGCTCATTATGATACTTTGGTTGATGACCAGAGTGGTGAAGCCAGTATTTTATTTCTAAAACTATAAACATTATTATGTTCAACATTAGTAAATCGGATCCTTTTCTTTATGTTAATAAAACCTGCACTTCAGTCCAAAGCTGTCTTCATTTGAACCTTTCGCTTTCTTAATTCTTTTGATGCCAATACCCAATAGCTCAAGATGTCATACACATTGCAGGGTTGAAAGGATGCGACGGTGGCAGAGACTGTCTGGGTGCAGAAGGTGTTTTGCGTGTGAGCTTCGGCTGTTTTGTATCCTTAGCAAGAAACATAGCTGACGAAGACTTTGCGTAAGTTCGAGTGGGTTGAAACAAAAAAAAAAAAAAAAAAGCCAGAAGGTCGTCTTGTCCTTTAAATGCTGTGAAATTTAATAAAATACTCTGAAGCATGAAAAACAAACAAAATTTGTACGAGTGAATTATTTATTTTTGATCTATTTCTACCGCTTTCTTTTTATGACACATTCTGATGTTCGCGCATCATAATCACCTGGTAATTTATGTCCATTAAGAACGCAAAACCAACGAAGACTCCTAGTCAAGGAGTTCAATAACTAGCAACTTAACTCAAGCTTCAGCCTTAAAATCTCCGTGGTGATCCTTAATCCTTGATCAGATATTTTTTATCACGATGTTTTTTTTCAACCGCCGGCACTTTTAAATTGAACGAACCCAGGGATTCATGGCACTCAGGGTGGTGGACGGTTAAGCTGGTTCTCTGGGCAGTGATGACAATCTTTCCGTTTCTACTTCCGTCTGGGCTTATTCAGCTCTACGGTTGGTCAATAGTATATTTGCAATAAGATTCATAGTATCCTCTGTGATGTTAAAGGTCGCTAATGTATCCTTCCTTATTCTTGTGTTGCAATTTTGTTGGCAGGGGAGATTGCTCATTTTGGTGCCGGGTAAGTTTGTGCCTCGTATAAATAATTTTCGTCATATAATTTCTTGAACTGATGACTGATAAAAGATTTCTGTGTTTTTTTTTCCCTCAGGGTCTTTCTCCTAATTCAACTAGTAAGCATAATCAGCTTCATTACGTGGTTGAATGATTGTTGTGTGTCTGAAAAATATGCAGACAGATGGTAAGAGTTTCTTGCTTAATGAACTTAACGGAATTCCTGAGCATGAACAATTTGGGATTAATGTAAATAACTATGTAAACATTGATGTTATTAACATTTAAACAAGACATGTTCGGTCATACTTGGGCATTATATTATTATGTGGTTCTCAAAAAAAGTCCCATGTTAGCCTTCTAGAAGAACTGGAAGCTCTCAACTGTCTAGAGCGTACTTGATGCTTGTGAATGGCTATTTAAGCATTAAGCTTTACGTGGCGAGCGGTAGGAGCGCAAATACTAATTTTTTTACTAAACAATATGGTAGCTAGGATAGGAGAACAAAAATTAAACTGTCTGTTGTTCATTACTGTCCAGTCCGTTTGTATCGGTTGCAATACATATAAATATAAGTTGACAAGTTTAGGATAATATCATTACTAATATGCCTTTAATCATAAATGTTATGCAGCCAAATTCATGTGATATTATTCGCAACTACTGCGTATGTTATCTGCTTGGTGGGGATCATTTTGATGTACATTTGGTATGCACCACAGCCATCTTGCCTCCTGAATATTTTCTTTATTACTTGGACACTAGTGCTTCTCCAGCTCATGACAAATGTGTCCCTGCACCCAAAGTAAGTTCTACTTCTCGCTGTGTTTGCTGGTTCATAACTTTCTCGGCCTTTTGGCTAAGATTAAGATCAAGTGTGTTTTCTGGTTCTATTCATCTTATACTACAATTTGACGGGAATTTCCGAATTTCCCCGATATAGGTGAATGCTGGCATTCTAACTCCAGGGCTGATGGGGCTTTATGTTGTATTCCTCTGCTGGTGTGCCGTTAGAAGGCATGACGACTACCACTCTCCTATAGTTTTCAACCCTTTTGTCTTACCTAATAATAATCCCTCTCCATGCTGGAAAATTCTTAAAGAAAGACACCTGATTTAAGTGAAATATTTGTATTTTTATTTCTAGTTCTTCATTGTTTTGGTCATATTTGTGTCTGCAGTGAACCAGATGGAGAAAACTGCGTCAGGAAGTCAGACTTTGCGGCCAAAACAGACTGGTTAAGCATAATTGTAAGTACTAATCCATGCTTAAACGATATTTGTACTTTGTACTTAGTTCTATTGTTATAGTTGTGAACTTTGTAAGGTGTGTGTATATCTATCACTTTTGTTAAATTCTTTCTTGATGAAGGCTTGGTAGTGCTAATTTCTACAGCTTTCCAATACGTGATCTCGTACTTCTTTGGGGCTGACTTGCAAAAAATAATTCTGTTGACAGAGCTTTATTGTTGCAATACTAGCAATCGTTATTGCAACATTCTCGACGGGCATCGATTCCAACTGCTTCCAGGTTAGTTACAGAATTAGAACGAACTTGAATTTTGAATTAGGCTCTCCGGTACAAATCTGACAGAGAACCCTGCAGTTCAGGAAGGATGACACCCCGCCAGCAGAAGATGACGTCCCCTATGGCTATGGCTTCTTCCATTTTGTGTTCGCCACAGGAGCTATGTACTTCGCAATGCTATTAATTGGATGGAATACTAACAGTCATCATGTAATGAGGAAGTATGATCCCACCCCCTCCGGTTGGTCTATCTAATTACCAATTTAATGAACAGCATGATGAAAAATAAGCATTTACGCTTTTTTTTTTTTGGGAAAATAATCACGTACACTTTAGTGGCCATGGTTACTAGTAATGTAGCTTCCGTCAAGTACTGAATATGTTATTTAGACGATTTAGATTCCAGCACCACACTAGAAGCCTATAATGGCCATCAATCATGCCATCGACGTAAATGTCCTGAACCATATCATGTTATACTTGTGGAAAGCTTCATCAGAGCATTCATGAAGGATCCATAAATAACATTCAATGCCTTTTTATCCTTCTGCAGGTGGACAATTGATGTGGGCTGGACCAGCACCTGGGTCAGAATTGTAAATGAATGGCTCGCAGTCTGTGTTTACTGTAAGTATTTTTGTTCAGTGAGGACCCACGAATTTTAAATTGCGAGAAAGATGCAATGCACTAACTTACTCTGTAGTTTTTAGTACAACCGTGGCACATAATTAAAGGAGCTTTTTATTATTACTTTTAACAGTGTGGATGCTGGTTGCCCCATCATATGGAAGAGCCGACAAGCTAATGCTACATAAAAAAAAAAAAATTTAAAAAAATTCCTACCTACCCGTTCGTGCTAGCTGAGATTCTTTTTATCGTCCCTTTTGGGTTGAAGATTTGGATGTTGAAATTACCCCATAGAGAACGCAATGAACTCCTCCAGCTCTGTCAGATAGGAAATTCTCCGTCAGAAGCACTGGATCCGGGGACATAACCCTGAAGGATATCCAATTTATTCCCGGTGAGGATATACAGTCTTCTTCTCACTCGATCTCAAGGACTACGAAGAAAATACGCTTCTTAACCTGTTCGTGTTACTCCTGAGATAAAGATTCAGGGATGCTTGCATCATAATTTGCTTAGGAAGTTTCATTGCTGGCACTCCCTGCAAAGAGAAGCATATTTTGGCGTCTCTGGTGAGAAAGGATATTGTAATCAAGTATAGGAAATTTTGTCCTTTTTTTTTAACGTGCAGCACATGCTCCCTGGGAGCATTCATCACATAGAATAGTGATTTTTCGTTTAAAAAGTGGATTCCCAGGATCCGCTGTGTATTATGTATTTTACCCACATAGGAACGGACTAAGGAATACTGTGGTGTTACAAAGACTTGAACTTGACTATAATTTATCGGTCACACTATATCATACATCATCATGTCATATATTTGTACAATGCAGCAAAACATGAAACCACAGCTGCTCAGCACCATCGACGCTACTATTGCAAATGTCCATGATTGCACCCCAAAAAAAAAAAAGTGAGATATCCACAGGGTATAATTTTACTGTTTACCGCATAGAGGTCATAGGCTCTTTCCTACATAATTCCTTTACGTGAAGAAAGTAGACAAGGCACCTTTCTATATAAAAAATTTACATGGCCAAGGCAGATATTGTTCTTCGACACCCCCCCCCCCAAAAAAAAAAAAAGTAAATCACTAATCTCTCTCTTTCTCTCTGTTTTTCTTTTCTTTCTCTCTCTTTGCACTTGTGGTTAGCTATAAATGACAGAGGGTGGAAAACCGCAAACCTCTAGTTTGTACAGAGAGCAAAAGATGGTGCTTGGTTTGAGAACTTTGGTGGCCTTGCAGAAACGTTCTTAGCATCATCCAAATGGATTCCGTCCTGCAGAAGAGAGATTGAGGAAGCAGAGGGTGAAAATGTACCAGAGAGATGCTGATTCAAGTTTGAGAAGCCAAAAGCGGCTCCCTCAGCACCAAAGCTCCCAATTTCTTGATGCCTGCACGTGAAGTTAAAAATATCAAAGAGGCATTATGAATTTTAACACTACGCCCATACTTAAATTGATCCTCGCACAAATTACTTCACAGACCAAGACAAGTAAAAACTCCAAAACTCTCAACAAAGCAATACCTAACAGATTAACTGTCCCCTGTAAAATGAGCTTCCAACAGAAAAGAAGCAGCCTAAACAAAACAAAGAAAAAAACGTATGAATAATCATAATCAAATAGTTTTACCTTGGCATTGCCATGTTCGTTTGCACTAGTTGCCCCATGTAAGGTCCTGAGGTTTTCAAAACACAGGTCAGCATACAGGGGAGAAAAAGGTGGAATAGCCTCAGCATGAATCATGAATAATTAACAGAAGAGTGATAGATGGTAATTTACTTGTTGTCATTGCTGATGGATGAGGCTGCATTTGTTGGGGTGGCATAATCCGTACCCAGGTGGATCCACGCAAGTGATGGATTACTCAGGCTTTAAAGAGGCATTAAACCTGAAGTTGATACCCTTGGCAGAGCACCTTGCAAGGATGATCTCAAAGCAAACTATACCCAAGGAACACCAACCGTAAAAGCATTACCCAAAAATTTTAATACCGATAAGCTGATTATCTAGTTATACTTTCTCTGGTCTTTAATATAAGACACAGTTAACTAATTGGGGATATTAAGAAAGTTAGTTAAGCTAGTTATTTATATAAATAGATGTTGTCTTTCCTAAAATACCTTATTAATCATATATGTTTAAATTACCCATGATAGTAACTCTTTAACATATCAACTACTATAGGGATTACTTGAGAGCAAAATAGATATAAATATAAAAGACAAAGTAGATTAAGATCTTA